CGTATAAGAAATAACATGCGATTCAGACTACGATATTATTTCAATACATATTTTTATAACTTTTTGCATTCGGATTTACTTTAATTTTTTTGCGATACGCTAGAACTTACTTAAATAGCTACCAAATAGTACTTTTTACTTTTTAATTTTACATATATAATAAAGAATGCCATGTTAATTTTTAATTACACAATGAATTCTATAATGATGTGATCGCAATACGGAGGTCATCTTATTGCACTCAGGATCATGAACACGGAACGTACACTTACATACGCCTTTTTGCAGTTGGCTAAGGGTAACCGCATAACGTATCGAACTGAAAAAATGTGTATCTCAGTAGACAGCTTTTTCAGCCTATTCTCTATGTATTTAATTTAAAAAAAACTACGATAACGCACCGCATTCACACGTTGTTGGTATAGCCTACAATTGACAGGCTAAATAAATATAATTAACCTCCGTACGCCAACAGTATGAATTAAACATAGTTTTATTTAATATTTTAAATGTACGTTATATTTTCTTCTACTTATATTTAAAGTGACAACTTATATAACACAAAAGAAAAAAAAATACAATTTCAATATAGTTATATTTAAAAAAATAACGATAGTGTTACGATTAGAAAGCAAAATATAGCGATTTTGTTACTTTACATACGATACAAGGAAGGAATATTTCAGTTTTTTTAGTATGGTAACATAAGATATGGTGTTTCCGCTGGCAACACTAGATTATGGCACATTACACAAACTCCAGCTTAACTTTCTTATATTAAGGACCATTTGCTAACATATATATTAACAATTTATAAATTTTGCCGCCTAATGTATTTAAAACAACCAAATAACATTTGACATTAGTTTATCAATAATTTAATTAATAAGTAATCAACTTTTGGGCAACAGTGGGGCAACAACTTGTCGACTTTTAATAAAAACCTCGTCAGTTGTAAACAATATGTCAGTGGAATGAGAGCAGAGAATAGATTGTGCGTCAAAACTGTTAGTCGCCGTTGTTGGCAACTGTCGCGCCATAGTTGAATGCAACCTTAAACGGAAAATTAACAGTTTACTAAATCAAAATACATTAAGATTCATAACGACAGAATAGATCATTTTGTATTTTAAAAATATATCTTAAAATAGCACAATGTGTAAGTACATAAACCAATTTCTTTTTAATTTAAATAATAATATTTATAAATTAATATTAGGTTTATAGGTTAGTAATCTTTGTACTTAAAGGCTAAAACTTGTGTCCACCTTATAAACGAAACAAAAATAGAATAATCTTTGAAAATATATTTTTTTTAATTCAAATACTGCTACGATATTGTTATTCTGCCAGCTGTATTAAATACAGCCGCGTCTTTGGACCTTATGTTACTAAAAGCTCACATTACAAAAGAAAAATAAAACTATATTAAAACTACAAAAGCACTTGTATTGTTACATTTTTAGTCAAAAATTGTGCTATAAACAAGTTAGATAAACATAAAAAATAAATATAAAAAACTATAGACAATATTGGAAGACGTCCATCGATAAAATTAAAAATAAATCGTTTCAAACTACAACACTAGGTAAAGGCTGGCACTGAGGTGTTTATAATAACATACATTATTTTAATTTTATTTATCGTAAAGTTTCCAAAAGAAATATTGTAAAAAAAAACATTTAAAAGCCATGCTGAATTTAATTATTCGCCACAATTTGACATCCAGGGATATACAAAACACATCAGTGCCAAATAACTCATTAGCAAACAATATATGAAAAAAATATCTGTACTCAAAAATATACAGACAAAACATACTATATAAATTTGAATATAAAACAAAAAGATACGGCTACACTATGGTGTATATTTTGACTACAAAATTGTATTATCGGACTTCGTTTAATAAATAAATCAATTTGGCCTAATTTGAGCATATTATTGCGCTCAATAACTTGAAGGGTAGGCAGTGGACTGGGCATGAAATGCCAGAAATTCTGTGTCAAACTTAGTCAAGTAATCGTGGAGTAACTTTGAATTTATATGTAGTTTGTCCTCATAATGTCGTCAATAATATAATATAAAAAAGCTCTTCGAATATGGTGACACCTAAGATATAGGTGTTCTTTGGCTCTTGCACAGTCCCCTGTCGTACCCAAAGCTTAAAACCTAAAGTTGAGTACTCGAGCAATGAAGTGAATACTATTAAGTCCTAGCCTCGAGACGTATCTAGTACATCGATGATCCTTAATATAAAACCGTTTAGTTCAGCTGCGGAGCAGTGCAGACGACGACGATTCAGTTTAAACTAACCTTAAACCTTTTGTTCGATCTTGTATTTCTAGTAAAAATATACCCTTGTGTGGTTTACGTTACATTTATAATTTAAATGATAGAAAGGTTTACTCTTAGTATTATTCTTATTCCACACACACCCGTCGTTTGCTACCGCCTCACCCAACCTCACGGGTCATTCGTCCCTTCTTAGTCTTCTAGCCTAGTCCAGGCTCTAATACCACCTTCACATAGAAATGAGAAACTGTAAACATGCCCAACAATAAACAATGCCATAAGTTCTTGTCAACATAACAGGATGTCCGTGGTTAGGCGATATTCTCTTTTCAGAAAATATTAGTCAATTCTATATTTAAAAATATACATATAATATTAATGCAATGACATTCTGTCCCAACCAACCTTACTGTATCGCAGTTGATAATTAAAAATAAACTTTTAAACAATATTCAACTATTAATTTAAAATAGAATCTTGAAGCAAATAATTATAATAAGAATTAAGAACAACTTATAAGTACGATTTGTTTGTGTCGACTGTTTAAATATTGTAGATAGACCATTCGACTAAAATATCGATACTATATAAATATAACTCGCGGCTGTCGAGTCCACCACAACTCAAAAGAGCAATCGGATAAGTCGAATCACATCACTACCCAAGACGCGACAACAACGCATCAATAAGACATCAAAATAAGAATCTAGCGATGCGCGTTTACTTAATCGACTAAGATGAAAACTTACTAACTATACATATGCATTTAAATATGGACTCAGGGTGCTGAAACAGTCACTGTTTGCAGCACATTTAGTGATACGTGAATAAAAAAATACACCTGGATTAAAATGCATTATATATACTTAGTAAGCTTTCGACTAAAATCGACTATAGTTGCCAGCTTTTTGGGAACTCAGACGTTCGGAAACACCATGGGAGCATTGCTAGCCGTGACATATCGATAATCGCTTCGTTTTAATTGTTTTTTTTACCAACATCGCCTATTATGATCGCCAGTAAAATATAATAAGTTTTAAATATACTGAATTACGAGTAAGAGTGGTACGATACACAATATGCAAGTATATATTCAAGTAAATAATAGTTTTCAAAAGTATCAAATATATGTCCAAAATACTAAATTTTCTAAAAAAATATTCGAGATCCAGCCGCGCTTCGAATAATTCGAGAACCGGTGAAAAAAAACTGCCAGGATATGTACTAGGAGTGATATACACGGCAGTGAATCAAGCTTTAAAAGAAAACGGGCGATCATGTTAAAAATCTTATTAAGTTAACAAATATCTAAAGAACAATATAGAAATAACGTTAAAATAACATAACAATTAGTTAAAAAACAACATTTGTTAACTCAATAACAAGGCGATAAATGTATTCATGTTCAATCATAAAATACAATCGAAAAACAGTAACCCAATATATGGTACACATTGTGAATTTGAAAATCACTCTGAAAAACCGTTAATGACACATCTGTGTATCATTAAGTTAGTAACGATCAATATCGTTATGTTATTAATGATCAAGATTAGTTTAATTAACGATATTTCGGACGGATCGTCAACGTAACTATCAACTAAGAAAAACGTTATCGTTACGAAGCGTTACCGTCACGCTGGCGCACAATGACAGAGTTCACAGCGAGCGTGCGTCGGCCTGGTACGTGACACGAGAGTGTGGGACAGCCAGCAGCCCTCCCATCCACCAACAACGATTGTCTGTTCACAAAATTTCCATAATTCAATCATGATACACAACATTAAAACTGTGGTAGGTAAAATTTTAGCACAACATATAATAATGTGGGGCTCGTGGCTAAGTGGTAACGGAGTAGGTTAGCATAAAGTTAAGAACACTTAGCCAGGTCAGTGTATGGATGGGTGACCATTTTTACCACATTGAGAACTCTCTGTGCTTCGGAGGGCACGTTAAGCCGTCGGAGCCGGTTGCCATACGAACATCTGTGGCAATCGTTACGGGTAGTTGGACCCCTAAAAAGTCCGACAACGGTCTTCTACAGAACTTCAATATCACCCAGTACAGTACCCAGTTGAGGAAGTCAGAGGGCAATAATATTGCAAGTTTATTACACGACTACTCGATCGTTACGGTGTCCGCGCTCGGCGTTGCTATTGGTCCGCTCTGAAATCTTCACGAATCGCAACGCCGAGCGCGCTCGCTGTCGAGAGCGAGTTTATCTGAAAAAGACGTGTGGCACTCGGGGACCGCCGCGGTAAAGCTATTGCATAGCATTTTTTATCAACTTATGCAATTATAATTATTTATTTATTTTATTTATGCAGTATTTTTTCCCTTTGTTTTTTTTTTCTTTGATATTAATTAGATTGCGGGGCGAAGAGGGGGATTACGCATGCGCAGTAACGCTGATACAACCAATGCCACCTAGAGGCGAGTTGCTGAACTAAAGAGACAAGCGTGATATTTCAAAAAAGTCATTAAAAAATCATCGATAGATGGCAAAACTAAAAAGTATCACGTGGGGTGTGTTAGGTTATTTTTGTTACGGAATGTCTGGATTCGGTCTCCACGCTCAAGGCCCGCGATAGAAGCTATGCAATAGCTTAATAAACTTGCAGTAAGCCCTCTGATGTCAGTCACTCTACGTGATAAATCGAAGTAAATATGTTACCTAAAGGTGGTGGGTAGCGGCGACAGTGCGGTTAGAGCAGTTCGTATTGCCGCAGGTGCATGCGCTGGATGATGTCGCGACAGTCGTTGAACACGCGCTTTATGTTCTCCGTATCGACGGCGCAGGTGAAGTGCGGGTAGCAGTAGTGCTTCCCGTCGCCGCTCGCTGTGCTTATGCGCTGAAACACAAATGTACAATTTACAGGGTGTAAAGTATTTCGTACTACATTAAGTCTTTTTTAGTTGTGGAGAATAAGTATCATGACCCTTCAACACAAAGGAAGCCTCCACCGCAGGAATAGTGCCTGGCAGGCTGCGGTCTAGCGGTTATATATATGCTAATCGGCGTGAGAATTTTTGATATCGTCATATAGGATTAATAGTAGTTCCATAGTTTGGTGTATTTCCGTTAGAAGGCACTGAAGTAAGTTATTGTTTTATTGTATTTGGAAGTCGCTATATAGTGATTGACACATGATAGATGTTACATTACAATGATAAATGATATTTGTACAAGTCGGACTTTACAGCTAGAAAGCGTCGGCGTTTCCTAAGACTCACTCTGGGAAGAAACGCCGCAACAAACCACTGAGGTGTCTTTTTTTTAAGTCCGTGTACAATGTTAAAGAAAACTCTGTGAGTGCAGTATAGGGTCTGAGTTGGCTTTTTGAAGAAAGGACCATAGTTTTGAGTCGGCCCGTCCATACAGCACATAGTCCATACCATATATATTCTGCAACTACTGTATGACTCTGTTTTTTTTTAAATAATTGAGTAAAATGTTAGTGTGTGTGGTGCACTGACCAGGAACTCGTCGCGTATGAAGTACTTGGCGCGCGCCACGTCGGGGTGGTCGCGCGCGTCGGGCGCGGCGTCGGGCGGCGTGCTGTAGCGCGAGAACTCCGCGAAGTACTCCTCCAGCCGCGACTTGCCCGCCAGCACCTTCTCCGCCAGCAGGTCCTGCTTGTTCAGGAACAGGATCACCGAGATCGTGCGCAGCCATCTGCACCGCGAAGAACACATACCGATTACTCACTAATTAATAAGTTAACAAGAAAGTGACTTTGAAGCTATAAAAGCTAGAAATCCTGTTCCACAAAAATAAATTCAACAGTAAAAATGAAAAATCTGCATATTTCAAATGCCAAATAGAGATCGCCATATTATTATTTTGACATTTGCATTCAATTATGTACAAAACTCTTATACCTAAGTACTTTTGAACTACAATAATAGGATTAAAAACAGTAGTTTTAAACCTTCCTGCCTGATACATTTCTCTCTCATTCTATTATTCATTCCATACATTGAGTCTTATAGCCTGACAGATTGTGACCTACACAAACAAATTTGTCTGAGACTTAACTACTGAGAAATAAAAACAACAAGGGACTCATCGGTTCAGACTGTTAGTCATAAGTATTTGTGATAATTGTGAACAGTAAATACAGTGAGTCAAACTATATAGGCAGTTATGAGTATTTGTTCAGTTAAACCAAATACCTATTATTCCATATGCTCTTGAAAAGGTCGAGCGATTCCCGGAGACGATTTTGCGTGGGGTCCTCCCGCAGCACCATGTTGTATGACGAGCAGGCTGTGACGAAGATAATGGCGGTTACGTCGTTGAAGCATTGAATCCACTTGCGCCGCTCATCCCGCTGGCCGCCCACGTCGAACATACTGTCAAATTGGGAGAAAACGGCCTGATCAGTAACAGAACATAAAATTAGAAAATGTACTATGACAATATTTTTTATATCTAGTTTTTAATAAACCAAATACTAGGTGTAGGCTAATATAAGGCTGCCGAGTTCCACATGGATTTCCCAGGGGACGAAACACTGGTTTAAGTAAGTTCAAGTCCTACATACCTCCTTATCAGTCGGTCCCAGTGAGGTGACGACCCAAGTGGGATTACAATATGAGGTGAAGCACGCAATAAACTCCTAATTTGCATTTTAAAAGCCACTGTTAGAGTATTTTTTCTTTTTGTGGGAGAACATACGTTTTAACACCGCGTCGTATTATATATATCCATCGATTTTTTATATTTAGCATCTTTATTAGCCTCATTAACTCAGTGAAAAGCAAAAGTTCCCTAATGCTTAAAACCGGTTTTCTGTGCCGAAGCATGGGTCTCAATAATTATTAAAAAATATCTCGTGCAAAGACATCGATACTGAATAAAAATAAACTTACTGGAAATTAACTTTGTCGACTACAAACTGCGTTTCAAATATGCCAGAAGTGAGAACTCGGCATCGCAGAATGTCTTGTTCCGTAGGCGTGTAATTTCCTTGCTTTATTATGTGCACCTGATCCAGGAAACTGGAAGGAACAAGCAAATTGTTTAACATTTAAAATACCTCCGACACAAAAAATCTCCAACCAAAATGGTGATGATTCTCCAGCTGAAACTTAACAGATTTTCTTTTTAGGAATTATAATTATGATTGAAATACCTTTATAAAAAACAGTTTTTCAAACATTAAGTCATTATATATAGAGGCCCACATATTCACAAAAATAACCCTGCTTTTACGTCGAGGTTTAAAAACAGGGATTTTCGTCAGCGAGAAACTACAATTTTTGCATATATTTATTTACATTTTTTTTTATAAATCATCATCAGGTAAGTAAGTTGACAAAGATGTGTTCTCGTTTGTTATCTTAGTTGCTACAATGCTCGTTGATTAAAATGATATTTGCCTCAGTTAAGGAGCTCGGTTTCGATTACCATTCAGTGCAAGTGGAAGACTACACCTATTTGCCGTAGTCTAGATGTTTCCGAGTATGGGTTTAGAATAGAGCTGGAGTGGTCTTTTAGTTGCAGCAATTGTCTTAGTCACAGTCGTAGTATAATATTGAGCTCAAGTCTGTTATACACTTTCTTTTTCTTTCAAAGTCTTCTTTAGTATAGAGAAGACACAATTCAGTACTAGATATTAGAATGAAAACTTATTCAACTCCTATCTCAACAACAACACTAACACTATTAGTACGAAATGATAATTTCATGGAACCTGATTGGTTAGGGGGCCGGGTTTGTTAAATGCGTCACTATATTCTTAAGTTGAATGAATCATAATGAGTATGCTCCCCTTTAGAACTAAAAGATTTCGGGAATCGGGGTGGTGACACTCCGTATTCTAAATCCGTCACCACACGGACACAATATTGAGTAGGTACTCACTACTTGGCACAGTCGATGAGCTGGTATTCGTTGCTGCGCTCGTACGTGCGCTGCACCCCCTGGTCTTTCCACAGCGCTTCCGTGTGCTCGTAGAACTCCGACGGGTAGTCGAAGTCTGGTTGCGACGCTACATCCTGGAATACAACCATACACGGGGTTAGATGGCGAACCCATCATAACTTTGAACTTAAGTTTACCATAAAATAACATTTTCACTAAACAATGTTAAGTTTTGCAGTTTTCGGTTATTTTCTGAGAAGTACAAACCATTTTTATTTTTTGTCCTAAAAAAGAATTTAGTTGGCGAATGAAACGGAAGGAGAAGCAACTCCTGAGGAATGTAAGGATGAATACATGTCCCTGTTTTTCTATCCCATCTTAGATGGCAAGGCGATGTGAGATTATTTATGTACGTAACTAAATCAAATTTAACTCTTTTTATTCTTTGAACTTGAGTTTACCATAAAGCAACATTGTTACTAACCAATGTTATTTAAAAAGTAAAGCCATTATTAAATAAACATCTTTCCTCTAGCGTTCCAATCAGTGCGTGGCCAGTCATTGAGGTTGGAGTACTATCTTTTCTTAAAGGTTTGAAGGTCGTATCAGTCCAGAAATACCCTTGGCGACAATATGTTCTATCTGGTTGGTTGTGCAAGGGAAAAATCTTCGGGAAGAGCGCATATCATCCGCTTTTCGCCGTCCACTGCTGAACGAAGACCTCCCCCAAGAAGCACCAACTGTCCCGGTCTTGGGTAGTCCGCATCCATCCATCCATTCATATTTATAGTTAAATTACCACTAAATTTGCTATTACAAGAACCGTTAATTTATAAGTCGTTCTTGATCTATACTTGGACCAATACTTTCCGTTACGCAGCAGCCACTAGCCGTCTGTGAAGTATCTAAGACTCACCTGTGGCCAAGCACTGTATGGTTTTAAGCGACATCTTACTTCACTATTAATTAGCCTCGGTGAGGCGATGAACCCGTTAGGGTCTTGAAATGCGTGAAATATATTGACAAATATATAAGACATAACCACTTACTTGTATATAATCGACACGCGCCTTATTCTCTTGCTTTTCGAGCGGTATGGGGGGTGTTAAGGTGCTCATGGCACCCGTGATTGTCTGAAATAATACGGAAACATGTTAACATTTTAGGTATATGCATTCACTTATGCGGTTAAGTATGTATATAACATGTCGTACCGAAGTCAAAAGGAAACTTCAAGATAAATAGTAATAAAACACATATCACGGCCGTCTGCCATCCTAAATTAGGCAGAGCCTGTAACTATGCATGTTTATCATCAGTCTGGTAGACTGCTGATAAACATGATTATATAGTTATATATACGTACATATTAAAGATAAATCATTTGTTCTGTGTCTGGGTGTACCCAGACATAGAACAAATGATTGTGCTCATCACAATATTATTTTGTCCTGGGTGAGAATGAAAACCATGGCTGTGCTGTCAGCATTACTAGCCAACTAGACCAACAGGCGACATAGGCTGTCTCTTTCTTACGCATAAGGCGTTATGAATAGGTTTTTAATTTGTCAGTTTATCGCAAAATAAGATGTTCTACGAATTTATAGTTATGTTATGTTCAATCAAAAGGCCGTAAATCGTATTGGCGCCCAGTAGATGTAACGAGGTATCTTCTGACTTGTAATAAATATAAGTTATTAATTTAAATGGTTATTCTTAGAGTAAAAACTTCTAATTTATAACTGACTATTGTAAACTAGTAATATTTGGGATAAGTTACACTGTCTGGCCAATTTATACAGACCGTTTTCAATTACTATTGCTGCAGATAATATATACCTTATATAGATTATAGAATAGCATCTATTACTTTATTAACGACAACCTACAACTAAAATACATATTTTTTTTAAACTGATACTAACAAGTATTGCATCTCTTATATTCTTCTTGATATCTTCGATCTTCTCGCGGCGCTCTTTGTCAGAGAAACCGTTAACGTGCAAAATTCGCATCTGCTTTACTATAGTCGACTTTCCAGACTCGCCAGCGCCCAACAGCAGAAGTCTATGCGTCGCCCGATATAGCTGGAAGAAAGAAGAATATAAAGAAACTTAAAAGAAATGGGATAATAATAAAGAAGTAATCGTAGTAAAGATTTTATATACAATGGGTAAGTTTTTATTTTGAGTGTGGATATTTCAGAGAAGTATAAATGATATTTATTTTAATCATGTCCAAAATAAGGGCTTAGTTGGCTAACAAAACAGAAGAAGAAATTTCTGAGGAATATTAGGATAAATATATATCCCGATTGTTCCATCTTATCTCAGATGGCAAACAGCGATGTGAAGTTATTTACGTATGTAACTAAATCAAGTTTAGCTCTTTTCGTGGCATGCCTAGAACATTATAAATCGTAGATAAAAACCATGCGGTGAACCCTGGATAACGTGGTTCTTCGAGTTATATTTCTATCAAACCCGGATGGACTTAACGATGATGAACTTAGTAAGACTAATGATGATTACAGTCTGATTAACTGTTTTTAAATACTTGAGACAGGGCTGAACGTTAGACACGACCAAACTCATCTCGACTTGCGTCCTGGGCCTCAATTCTGGTATTTAATGTTCTAACTAACTACCAATATTTATACCGATGCCAATGGCCACTCGATGGCATCTGAATAGCGTGTCAGTGGTGTGACAGTGGCTTGGCGTGAACATAAAATAGCAGAATTGAGGCCTTGTTCAGTTACAGCAATAAGGGAAAGATTAAAAATTTGCACCAGACTGGGGTTTTCACCCCTTCAGAGTTTAATAATTTAGTCATGAACATTAGAAAGCCAATAAGATTCGTCTTAAAAACCATTTGTTCAAATGCCACAAGGAAATAAAAAGACATCTATGTATAAAGGAACAGTCTTCTAAGGTTAAGTTTAGAAAGTGCAACAAACCTGTTTATCCTTCTGCAATTGCTTAGTGATCGCATCGCTGCGGCGCTTTTGTGTCTTGGCGTCATCTTCACTGCTCTTGCCGCCTGGCGAGCCGAAGCATCCCATTGCCGACCAGGCCGCCCACCTGGGAATAAAACAAACGATAGCTTTTAACATCTCGTATGTAGTTGCGAAGATGTCTTTTATGCGAATATAGTTATAGTGTTAATACGCGATCTCGAAAAGTCATACAAAATATGATTTGATAGGATATTCTAAGTGCTGCAGGAATTTGTCCATTGGGATATCTACGATACATAATACAACTGAGTTTCTTATGAATGGAACACGATCTAATCTCTGGAAACGATGCTAAGAACTACTTTTGACACTTCATAGCCCAATTCTTTAAGCCGTTCTAGGCGTTACACTATGGGCTCTTAGAAGTTCTGGGCTGACTACAAAGGCGGCCAACCGGTCACTGAACCAAAAGTCACTTTTGCGTATCCAAGAAAGACTAGGTACTTAAAGAAATTCCTAAGATCGAATTTTTATTATGTTTTCCCCCGAGAACTTCGAGAATTGCGAACACAATCTTTGAAATATTATTAATACGTGTACATGTGACATACAAAAGAGACATCAAAGTAAAATGAAGCGCTAAAGCCTGATTTACATCACCCAATTTGCAGACTGATAAGTGAATTAGTGTGCTAATTTTGTATTGCGTAAACTCCGTTAGGTAGTTAGTTTTCCAATCTCTAGATAAGGCATTGACTTCGTGTTCTAAAAATTGCCTTAAGCGTTGGATACAATTGAATTGAACTCAGTATGCAGCAAACCACAGAAGATGGCAATATTTTATATAAAAAAGCATTCTAAGTAAGGCGACATAAATAGAAAATGGAGCTATTTTTAAGTACATTTATACTCAGTTTTTATAAAATACTAGCTGTTCCCTGCCACGCTTTGCTGTGGCACGTTGTGGTTGCATTAATAAGAAATGAGGAACAAAACTGAAGAGAAAAATGGATAAAAATAGTCCTTGAAGCTCTTTGTGTATCGTGTCTAAATTTGAGCTCAATCGGTGCAGAACTTTTTGAGTTTTTGAAGACAAACCAGCTTAACATTTTTATTTCCCTAAATATATTATAATTATATCCCACTAATATTATGAACGGGAAAGTTGGTGAGGATAGATGTATGAATGCTTGTTTTCAATCACGCCAGAATAGCTAAATAGATCTGGATGAAATCTCGCACAGAAATAGATTGCAGTCTGGAATAGCAAATAGGGTGCTTTTTATCAAGAAAAATTGTTTTAACAAAATGCATATCATCGCGAGCGTAGCCGCTGTAAACTGTTGAGTCAGAGATGGTGGGTTCGATTCCCATCCATAAATAATCATGTGATGAGCACGCTCATTTGTTCTGTGTCTGGGTGTAATTTATCTATAATATGAATGTATTTAGTAATATAAAAGTATCTTATCAGCATTACACTGTTGCAAATAGGCCTCTTGCTAGGCTGATTTATTGATTGATTTTATCAGCAGTCTCAAGTTATTATTATTATTACATCAATTGAAACATTTCAGCATATTAGTGTATTTGGATATACAGGGTTACTGGGTAAGTCTACCTAAATACTTTAAGGGGTTGTAGTTGCCATCATTTCTGATAGATTTTACCAAAAAATACCATATCCTAAAGGCCAATTTCAAGATATTGGACTTTTATGATTTTTATAAAAATTGCCGAAATTTTGCCTATATTTTTTTTGTAATTTGATCCCTTATTTTATGTTTTTATACTGTTTTTGTGTATTTAATACATTGTTTTATAAAGTCCATGACTAAAATTGTAGTTAAGTTAACCGACTGAGCCGAAGTAGATGAGTAATAATAGCAAAAAGAATAAAATATATAGTAGAATAAGTACTTGTAAAAAAGCAATATCATATCCCTGGCTCGCAATTCCCAGGCGTTATCGAAGTCGCATGTGTTGCCCCCATCTATCACGCGATGGACCCAGAACCCGCGCGGTGAATCCATGGAACGCTAAGAAATAGGTCCGCTAACTGAACTTTGATTTGTGCTTCTGATAATGTTGGAGATGATAACCTATTTATTATGCGAACGAGGAATATGTTCATATTTTGATTTCTTACGGATACTGCCAATGCGTATCCGCACGGGCTCGTGGATGAATACATAGCACGCTATCCCGACCATCGAGTTCCGGAGACCGGCTTTGTTTCAAGGCGACGATCTGATCTGCGTAGATCACGTTTCACTGATGAAGATGACGAAGAAGGCAACGAGATAATTCAAAGATTTAGATTGGTTCCAACAACTTCAACCAATATTGTTACCCTAGAACTTACGACTCTCACAGTGGAAAGTGTAGTGTGATATGAATGTCGCAGGCCTATACCTATATCACTATACGCTGGTACAAGTTATTGAAGGCGATACTTTGAAGAGATTGGATTTCTACAGATTTATGGTGAATCTAGATGTATGTAAAAGACCAGTTATTTTATTTCTGAGACAGTTCATGGATGGATGTATTCCAAATTTGAAGAAAACGGTATAACTTATTACCACAGCGTTTATTATTTCGCGCCAAAAGCACAGATAAATCCTTATATTATACGGATAAAGGAGCCACAAAGACGCTTGAGTTTGAATGTGTAGATGGGTATTGTCAAACCACTTGATTGGATTATTTTTTACTCCCCGAGAACATTAAGAAAACTTTTTAGGTACAAAATTTAACTAACTTACTAGATGATTTACCACTTGTTCTCATCTCATTCGCGGCAAGATGAGGAATTATTAGTAAAAATTTCGGCATTTTTATAAAAATCTTAAAAGTCCGATATCTTGGACATGGTTTGGTTGGGGATATTGTATTTCATAGTGAAGTATATCAGAAATGATGGCAACTACAAGCCCTTAAAGTATTTAGGTCGACTTACCCAGTAACCCTGTGTATTCGCAGATTAAGCAACAAAAGGTCAAGTTTATTTTATCAAACTAATTAAATATATATTTACAAAATAAAACAAACTGCACTGTACACTGCAAAAAGTTTCACACAGAAATGTTTGAACAGAACCATTTCTGTAACGTTTACGAAACCAATAAGAACAAGGGTACTGGAGACCTTTGAATTTATTAGAAAACAGGGAAAAAAAACTGTGTTTACGTGGCGTAAAAGTTCTTCAACATATTGTGGTTAAAAAGTAGCTATTGTTTCATCATATTGAATTGAAACACGCAAATAAACAATTACGTGGCCATTTCACAGGATTAACCGAAATATCTGTCCATTTGATATGTCATAAGAAAAATAACATAGCTGTGATGATTGTGTAGCCATTTTTAATAATCATAAGCAGTCTTACTGCGGTAAAATACGCCAAAAGCAAACTAACAACAGCATGAGTTAAATTCGCGTATTGTTTGTGCAGAAACCACTCAAGTTACGCTCTTCCTCGGCAACTTATTTTGCCACCATGACTTCACGGGTCCAAGCGGTGACTTGATCCTACTGCGCTGAGTGTTGAGGATTCGGTCCCCAATGATTGTCCCCAAAATTCTCGCATGATTGACATTCGTCGATTATAATTCCGCATTACGCAGCTAATTAGTCAAAAAATAATTTTCTTTTACAAACAATTTCTATGAATTTGTATATGGTATACTATTGGCTAGTATAGCAATGTCAACATATTAACAAGCTTGTTGGTCTTAAAAATAAAATATAATAAATATTAAAATTACTGGATATAGAACGTTCAAGTTATTATCCACACTTGTCATGTTGAAATGTCAAATAAAGTTTTTATTTTATATTTAAAAAAAATATATTACTACAATAATATTATACTTTTAACATAAACCAAAAGGTTATGGTGATTTTAATTTAAACCAGTATTGTGTGTGTTAAATGGGAATTTCAGTGAATTTAATATCAATTAAGGTAAATTAAGAATTGATTGTAGTATGACAAGAAAGTAAAGTAAATCTTTCGTAGTTATTCAGAAACAAATCATCGTAAAACACATTCATTACCCCTAAAATCCCTTAGAAATCACCGCTTGAGACTAGTTTCAGCTTATCTCATGTAAACAAAGATCACAGCTGTCAAAATCTATACCAGAGTAAAGATTCCGACATAAACATAGTTATAAAATAAGCTATCACTCACTTGGGTATGGATCGGTAAATCTCGTTTTATGTGATGTTCAATAATAAAATCTCTACTTAAAATTAGTGGTAAGACTAGATTCACAACTGAGACACTTTTTAAAATACGGGCCTGGGTGTTCTTTATGTCCGTTTTATAAATGTTTGTAAAGTCCCCCGCAACACAGCATATATATAAGAAAGAGCTACAGAAGAGCAGGTAGACCGAGTTTTTGTTAAATTGGATACAAGAAACACCTTACTTAATAACATCATCAGACTTAAATATTTTTAACAACAGGAATGTTACTGGCATGTTGACAATCGTCAAGACATCTTTGGGGTTTAGATGTGACGCATAAAATTGTAACATAATTTTTGTCCCCTGATAGCTAGAATTACTTAAATGGATAATTAAACTAAGTTATCAACTCGAAGAGAGAAAAATGCAGTACATTACGTTTTCATCTATACTAATATTATAAAGCTGAAGAGTTTGTTTGTTTGTTTGAACGCGCTAATCTCAGGAACTACTGGTCCGATTTGAAAAATTCTTTCAGTGTATGATAGCCCATTTATCGAGGAAAGCTATAGGCTATATATCATCACGCTAAGACCAATAGGAGCGGAGCACCAATGAAGAATGTTTCAAAAACGGAGAAAATTTATTACTATTGAGAGATGCAGACGAAGTTGCGCGGGTCAGCTAGTCTTTAATAAATTCATTTTTGATCCTAGTTAACAAGCACGAGGTGTTTTAAATTCATAATTGCACCTAAATCTATAAATAGCTCACAAAACGCCATGTCAAGGCAACAGGAAAACTATTTTTGGTGAATGTAATTTCATTGGTGGCGAAGAAAAGTAGGTACTCTAAATAATAAGGCTAATAACATGCTAATAGTTCCAAATGTGGATAGCTGCTACAGAAGAGTAACCGTATGAGCCATGCTTCGTCACACATGGACCAGGCTCGACCGG